CTTAATTCATAGACGTACGATTCATTTTTCGAACATTTTTTTCATTTTTCTTACCGGATAAGTGGTTTTTTTTAGCCCTCTGGTTTTGTGAATAAATAAATAAATAAATAAACAATTTTTAATAAAATTTTACTTAATAAACTCTTTATAAAAAATTTGATTAACTTTGTTTCATTAAGCGAGTGAAACACATAAAAAAAATCGTTTTATTACCGGAATGTATTTGTATGCAAATTTGTACACAGGGCAAACATGGGAATATAAAGAACCAGATGATGAAAGGTCACATCAGTACATGAGGGGAACAGTAATTGTAATAGCCTGTCTTGCAGGATTGCACGCAATACAGTGAACTTCAAGTGATTCATGTCTTATGAGCCTTGCATGTCAGATTCTTTCCTCCCTACTGGTTATAGTGCTGCTCAATGATTAAGCACAGAAAGTTTTACTGTGCCAACCATCCGTATATTTGTTAGCGTTGTATGATCATACAAAAGAATTTTTTATTGTTGTCTACAAGTTTGGTTTAATTTTTTAACAAGCTGCATTTTAATATATAATTAATAATGATTTTAATAATTTTTTATGACAGTAAATTTTAATGTTGGACAGAATTGTGTAATGACGTTTGATTTTTTGCATCCAAAATATTTCATGAATTCATAAAAAATTCTGAAATTATATCATAAATATTTAGCGCAATAAAATTTGTTAAAATAGTCTGTACCAAATTTTATCATAAATATTTAGCGCAATAAAATTTGTTAAAATAGTCTGTACCAAATTTTATCGATAATTTAGAATTAGAATAATAAATGGTACTTATTACTGAACATATGCGTGCACGTAAGTACGACACTAAAGTCCGTGCATTTGTATGCACATATTTATTCATATATTGGAAATGGATTTTATGTACACGGTGGCCTATACAAGCATATATTTTTCAGTCTCCGAAGACTAAATTATTTTATCTTATGAATTAGTTTCTTAAATAAATTATTTCAATCAAATAAACTATTTGTGTAATTATTAACAATAATTGGCCAACGAGTTAACTTGCGCCATGTCTCACGCTGCTATTACACAACGACATGGTCCGACCTACATGTAGGTTCAAGTCGACTCACTAATATGTACTCGATTAAGGCATCCATTAAATGAGAAACAGTGTGCGCTTGTGTGTGTGTCGGTGTTTATATGTGTGTGTCGGTGTTTGTATGTGTGTGTCGGTGTTTGTATGTGTGTGTCGATATTTGTATGTGTGTGTCAGTGTTTGTATGTGTGTGTCGGTGTTTGTATGTGTGTGTTTGTTTGTTTATTTGTGAATGTGTGTGGGCGTGTGTGTGTGTGTGTATGTATGCGTGTGTGTGTGCGTGTATGTGTGTTTGCGTGTATGTGTGCGTGTATGTATGTGTGCGTGTATGTGTGCGTGTATGTGTGCGTTCGAGCGTGCGTGTGAGATTTTTTTGTGTATAGTTCAGTTTGGTTTTTATTATTTTTAATGAAACCTGGAACAAAATGATCAAGGTGCATTCAATTTGTATATACTATATTAATGTGTGTGTGTGTATATATATATATATATAATGTAATAATGTGTGAATATTACTGTTTATTATATTAATTTACACTTTTGAGTTAAATATTTTACAAAAGAACTATGAAATAAAATAGAACTTTTTCAGCAACAAAGTTTTCAATCAGTGGAACAGCTTAAATAATGTGCAGTGCTAGCAGAATCGAAAAATATTTTTAAAAGGGAACTGTCCAAATTAGAATTCTAACAGGAGTGGCTTTAAACAGATGATTAGTCTTTGAGCCACTATAATTTCTGTTATTCTATGTTATGTTATGTCATGTCAAATATCATAGTTGTTCTACCAAGCAGAAAATGTTATCAAACTGTGTAAAATAAAAATAGAAACAATATATCGAATAATTCCTCTATTTAACTAACATCAACAATCTCTTAGCAACAATGATAAAAAAATTTCAACGTAAAAAATTACGTCAGCAACAACATCAACATCGTTGGCAACAACCTAAACTTCTTCAACATCATTGACAACAACATCAACATCACCAACAACATCAACATCGTTGGCAACAACATCAACAACAACAACATCACAACCAGTTTTGCCGAGTTGCGTACCACACAGAGCCTCAACAAATCGCCAACCACCTCACTCGCATCCTGAATGCCGGCAATAAACAACAGTTGAACCGAAAATAACAACAATCATGAACAAAATTGTTGATGGAAGGTTAAAGAATGAAGCCGATGACTGCAGAATGACTTGACATCACATCACATTAACCTGCTCTGCCAACACTGTAAACAACAGCAGCAGCTGCAACAACAACAACAGACAACAACAACAACACTAGTACTAACAACAACATTAATAACAACAACACTACAGACAACAACAACAACAGACAACAACAACGAATATAATCAACAATTGTTAACAACAATTCAAGCAAAGAGAACAAAAAAGCTACAAGCAGGTCGAAATTGCTCATGACTTTTCTATTCAAAGATTCACAACCTGTTCAGGTTTTTCATTAAAAATTCAATATGTATTGATTAAAATGTTTCAATCAGTGTGTGATGGACGTTTTATCAATTAGTCTGGCGCTCCAGCAACGTTTTTTTCGTGTAAATTGTGTCCAACTTGATTGGCATGTGGTTGTCTTGAATGTTGAGTATCGCAGTGCTACGGCTTACAATCGATGACAAATAACGAAGATAAAAAATATAACAAGATAACAATAATTAATTGATGATAACTAATTCCGACCATTCCAGCAGTTACAATAATATGTACCTTGTATGCTGGCTACTATCTTCTATTCCTGAAGAGCAATTTGGCTTCTAATTACTAATAAGTTATATAACCCACCGCAGAAATTAAGACTGAACTTTATTAAATTGGAATCAAATATTAATATATAAAAAGTCATTTTGCAGTAAACATTTAGTTCAAGAGTTCAAAAGTTTTATTTGAAACAATCACAATGAAAGGAATTAATATTTTCGTATTTCAGTTCTTATTTTAATAAAAGTTTTAAAATTAATTTTCTCAAAATGTATGCTTTATTTGTCATAATTAAATAAAAACCAGTGATGGACCCGACCGCAGAGCAATGCCTTCTTATGAAAAAACAAATTTTATGGGGACATGGAAGTAATGTTTAAAAAGTTAAAGGGCATTCTCAAAAAACAAAAAGAGTTGTGTAACACTGGCCTAAATAATGAAATTGTGTGTGTGTGTTTGTGTATGCGTTTGTGTGTTTGCGTGTGCAGTGTGTATGTGTGTGTGCATGCGTGTGCGTGTTAAAAAGTTAGTCTATTCTTGCACCGCAGAACTCAATTTGATTGATAAATGTGCATGTGTACAATGTACATAATGATGGGGTTGATGAGGCTATCGACCTGCCTCATCAGCCTGATTCGAAGCTTAGCTTACTCTTCTTATACACATGTTTTTGCCAGATTATACATACCAAAGTTCCAAATTAAATTTATTTAAATACAATTAATTAAAGGAAATAATATTTCGTAATTTTACATTCTTGTCAAGCACTAGACAAGCCATCTAGATTTCAATTCAATCTTATATTATTCATTAAAATACATTTTGGTGAAGTAAAATAATTACATTTTGGTGCCCCAGTCTGAGTCGATCAATCTTTGGAATGTTTAAAAATTTTAGGTTACGAAATTACTGAAAATCGATCAATCACTTAAGATCTCATTGTATCATTCCCATTTCGTTCATACTAATAAACGCAGCTTGGATTAATTAGAATAATCATTGAGTGCCATAAGGTTGCACCAATGAATTTCAAAAATAGATTATTATTTTGACCTTTTATAATATTCAATTTTTTATTTTTGCATAGAATAATAAAAATGTTGAGGTGAAATTGGATGCATTATTTAGGTACTGGTTTTGTAGAAACATTTCGAACGATGTTAGTACGGAATAATTTCTTAAATAAAGTGTTGATGAATAGAAGGAATAGGTAATCAAATCACTACAACCATGGTAAGAAACCAAACATAGAAGAACACATTGAATTATACATAAAAATTGAGTTGGTTCCAGCACCAGTTATAATGTGTGTGTGACGTTATTTATGCTTCTGTTCTTAGCATAGTTTATAATAGGAAAATACGAAAGGACAATAACTGCATAACATGTCATGATGAGAGCTAAAAATATGGAATTTAATAGTACAAAGATTTACCGCTTGGTCAACCATAAGTGGTGGTATTGAAGTGCAATTTATATACCATCTCAACGAGTGGCCTACTGGTATCGTGGATATATATATATATATATATATATATATATATATATATATATATATATATATATATATATATATATATATATACAATTTTTAGGTTTTGTCTTGTTCTCCTCGACAATCCTAGTCCAATATTTGTGACGTTTCTCTGAAAAGAGTTTTGATTTATTTTTCAAAGCACATCTCCATTCCTCACGATGAACTTGTTACAAACTATTTTTAAAAATTCGTTCTTTCCTTCTACAAGCACGTTGACAAAACTTGCACTCATCATCAAACCACGGTGCCAAATTGACACGATTGGTGACTACCATATGGATTGGTACAACACTATTGATCACACAATTTATTTTGCTGGTAAACAACTGCAGTTCTTCATCAATATTCTCTGTTTAACATGGTTTTGATACTGGAGAGTCAAGAACAAGTTTAATGAATTCATCCTCATTTAGACGATTCCATAATTTGACTACTTTGTTATTCTTGACGTGCAATTTCGAGTCATTGATTGTGCAATTTTAATGAAACCATGATCAGAGTGGATTCCACTTGGATATACTATACAGTCTTGGACAGGAAGATCGACTGAAGTGACTATTAAATTCAGTGTACCACCATGTATGTGCGTAGGTTCTTTTACATGATTTTGAAACTGAAAATTTTCAAAACATCAATTAGCCTAGCGGCATGTGGATCGTTAGTCTTTTCAATGTGAACGTTGAAATCACCTGTCAAAATAATACAAGAACTTAATACTGTTACATTTTCTAGCACCAATATCAGCTCGTTAAAAAATAATGTAGATAATTGTGCAGAACCCGGTCTATAAATAGCGAGCAATATAAACTCCCGGTTGTTGGTTGTAAATTTGACCGCTAAAACCTCAAATGTGACAACTGCAAGTAAATCAATTTTTTTGCATCTCAAACTGTTACGGAAAAAGATTATTAATCCACCATGCAAAGGATCATAATTTCTCACACAATCCACAAAACGATAACCAGAAGGCATTGATAGTGCAATGGATGGATTATCTGAAGACCCATGCCAAGTTTCGGTTACAACGAATCGTAGATCAAATCATAAACAACATTAAACTTGGTAGAAATCGACCTTATATTTAATAGACCCAGATTTAATTCAACCTCATTAGAACCAGCAGATATATCAAAACCAAGACCTTCACCACTACTACCACCACCCATCACACTCTTAAAAGCAGCCCGGCCACAACCCAATCTGTCAAAATTTACTTTTTTCCAACCGGGAATCTTACAATCTTCCAACTTCCCGGAGAACCGCGAACCTTGAATAAAAAAATTTTATTAGCAACTTCCTGCATCTTAGCATCCTCTAGCAAAATTTTCAATTCACCTCTCTGTTCTTTAGTCAAGTCACGACTAATGCCAATTCGACCAAATTGATCAACCAGAGAACTTAATTTAAAAGTGCGTTTTATAATTTGATTCTTAACAGCGATATTGTCCAACTTGATAAGCAAAGATCTCGACGTGCCATCAGTTTTTTTACCCAATCTCACAATTTTTAGAACATTTTTATAAGACATGGCGTCATCCGTTAAGTGATTCAAAATTTTGAAAACTCGCTCTTTATCGTTGACACCTTCCGGCAGTCGAAATAACATTATATTTGTTTCTCTATCTTTCACATCGGACGCTCCAAGCAAAGTTTTATGCACATTTTTAACTTCAGCATTAAGAACGTCAACGTTCTTTTTGACTTCTTGACTAACAACCGAAGCAAAAGTTGACTTTATATCATGTTTTAATGACTGCATTATATATATATATATATATATATATATATATATATATATATATATATATATATAATTTATTTATTTCTTCAAAGACACAAAAAGTAAACAGAAAGATACTTGTAATAGTGCCTTAACTAAAAATTGTCAAAAATATTTCGACGAGAAAACTAAAATGACCAAACTTTTGCAAAAATATACAGACACATTGCATAGTTACACACATATATATATATAAATTATATAAATATATATATATATATATATATATATATATATATATCGCTCATCAGTAGCACGTGCCGGCCGCATTTTGATTTGCTCCGTATTTTTTCTTAATTTCATAGTTTAAAATCGAGTATTTAGTTTAAATTTAATTTCATTTAATAGAGAAAATTTTGACGAATTTAACGATATAATTTGTTTGCGTTAATTGTTTGAGACTTGCAAATTGAACTAAGAAATTTAATATTGTAAACGTTATTTAAGATGGCTAAAAATGTCACTTGTTCGTTGTGTGAAAACTCGTTCAGATTGAAGCTCGCCAATTTCACTGATGATATGTACGAAGTTACCAGGACTTGCATCAATATTAGATACTATTGCGATACGAGATTTGAAAAAAATGGAAGGAAACAACGATGAAATTATTAAAAAAATTGAAAAAATAGAGGAAAATAACGATGAAATTATTAAAAAAATTGAGGATCTGCATAAGAGCACCACTGCCGGCATCGACACCATTAAGTTGATTATAGCTGAAAATGAATTAAAACAGACCTTGTTGGATTATTCAGAGAAAAAACTTTGCACTGAAATTAACAACCTCAAGAGCGAATTGAATAAAACATTTGCAAGTGTTGTTGGTTCGGAGGTCAAAAAAAGTGTTGATAGCATCAACTTGGAGGTAAAGAATGTCAGCAAAACTATAAACACTGTTATTGAATCAAAGGAGAGAGAAACGAACATGATTGTTTTCCGATTGAAAGAGGGGGATGCTGATAAGACCAGTATAGAAAAAATAGTGAAACACATGACAAAGGGGACATGTGACCAGAAAAACATCGTCAAAATCTATCGACTTGGCAAAAAAAGTGACATCATTACTCGTCCGATTTTGATCAAATTTGACGATGGAAAAAACAAGGAATTGGTCCTAAGAAACAGTCACAGATTAAAATCCATTGGTGACGATTTGACGGGTATCGGTCTGAGCCACGATCTTACAAGTGAACAAAGGACTGAACTAAAACAGCTTGTCAGTAGTGCGAAGAAACAGGAATCTGAGGATAAAGAGGGAAAGTGCTACGTTTACCTGCAAGAAAACAATAAGTTTGATTAATGGACGTGTTGGCACTTGGTATTGCTTGGAACAGTTGGTAAAGGTACAATATGTTAATTTTTGCAGATTCGGACCTGGAAACAAGAAATATAATACTAATAAGAAGATGGTTAGGATTGGTTTGTTGAATGTCAGGTCTATCAACAATAAGGTTGTTGATGTCTATGGAATGATTTATGATGGCCTCGACATACTGGTTCTGTGTGAAACATGGCACGGGACCGAAGGTAATATTTCCGTTAGATTAGCTATGCCACCTGGTTTCACATTTGTGGATTTTGTCAGGCCGCATGACCCTGGTTACGGGGGTTTGGTAATTTATTTTAGAAGTGATTTAAAGTATAAAAAAATAAATCTCCCTTTATTTTCCAAGTTTGAAGCTCTGGCCATTAGATTGAAAATTGGAATTGACCAGTTCTGTTTAATTGCCCTCTACAGACCTGGCTCGGAACAGACGACTTCATTATTCTTTGAAGAGTTGATTTCTATGTTAGAGTTTATTAAAATGTCGGAGGCTCATGTCGTACTTATGGGTGATTTTAACATTTACGTTAAAAAGAGGGATAGTCCTTTCACTTTACGACTACATGAGATACTTGATATGTTCCAGTTGGTCAATCATGTTAATCAACAAACACATGTGTCGGGAGGTACGTTAGACCTAGTAATTTGTTCACAGGATTTTCCAATTCTTAATACTAAGATTGACCCGTGTTCGGTATACTCTGACCACAGTTACGTAGGTGTGAGAGTGGCGTTGAATCAAGTCCGACCAAAATAGTTGAAAGCATGTGTCAGACCGTGGAAAGATCTGAACGAAAAATGTTTTGTTGAAGCACTAGCAAACTCTCCTGTGGCAAACAAATGTCAATCTGATGATGTGGATTATGAATTTGCTCTGTTTAGTGGTGAAATTCAACAAATTTTTGACAATTTAGTGCCTATGCGGGTGATTTATCGTAGGCAGACAAATGCTGCACTTTAGTTTGATGGTGAGTGTAGACGTGCAAAGCGATTCTGTAGGAAGATGGAAAGAATTTATAGGAACCGTCCGGAAAGTGGGCGGAAAAAAAGATGGGCACTCTCATTAATGGCTAAAAACAAACTCTTTTCTGACAAGCGTACGCATTATTGGAACGATGTCGTAAGTAGTAACGGAAATCAAAGAAATCTTTGGGATGTTGCCAATAAAATGTTAGGTAAAAATTCGGCAAATGATTCATTTAATGATGACAACGCTCTAAACGCTGATCAGATTTTACAATTTTTTGAAGATAAAATTGCTAGGATAAAAGAAACAACAAATGCACATTCTGAATTTCCGCTTCAAGTAGTCTCGATGTTGAATAAATGCACGTTTTCATGCTTTCCGTTAATTACTGAAACTCAGTTGAGGGAAACGGTACTTAAATCACCAACGAAATCGTGCAGCCTGGACATAATCCCTACGCATATCTTTAAAAAATACTTGGACTCATTTGTCTGCTTTCTGACGAGTTTTTTAAACCTCTGTTTACGCGTTGGTAAATTTCCTTCTAGCTGTAAGCACGCGATAATTCAACCGATTTTGAAAAAAGCTAACTCAGATGCAAATGAGGTGAGTAACTACAGACCAATATCAAACCTTTACTTTGTTTCAAAGGTTTTGGAGCGTGTTGTTCTTGATTTCCTGATGAATTATCTAATGACGAACAATTTAATGCCACTCAACCAATCGGCTTACAGGTGCTACCACTCAACAGAAACTGCATTGCTTCATGTCTTGTCAAACATGTTTGCAGGCATGGATGATCGACATGTCGTCCGCTTTTGACTGTGTTAATCATAACAAGCTTCTGGTAAAATTGCAGATTAATTTTGGTGTTTCAGGAACGGTACTTGCCTGGTTTGAATCATATCTAACGGGTAGAACTCAGCAGGTTTTGTTTAGAAAAGTCTTATCATCTGTCAAGGGGGTAACAACGGGTGTTCCTCAGGGATCAGTGCTAGGACCAGTTTTGTTTCTACTCTTTACATCGGATATAATTAAAATAATAATGTCGCATGGACTTGTTGGTCATGCGTATGCAGATGACATACAGATAGTTGCTAGAGGTCATCCAGAGACATTTCAGCCCGAGATTGATAAACTTGTTGGTTGTTTGATAGAGATTGAACGTTGGATGTTGAGCAATTCCTTGAGGTTGAACCGGGGTAAAACTCAGATGCTTCCTGTCGGTACTTGGCAGCAGTTGTCAAGACTTAATATAAACTCGGTTGAAGTTGGTGACGTTGAAATATCATTTGCTTCTACAGCCTTGAATTTGGGGGTATGGTTGGATAGCAGGCTCTCAATGAAAGATCAAATAAAGTCGCTATCAATTGCAAGTATGATGCCGTAGGGATCAAACATTTATTTATTAACTATCTCATACATTAATTATTATTAAAGATTATTACAATTTTCAATGTTACCTAATCTATGTTAAGTTTTATGTCTTTGCTTCTCTCTCGACTTCTTTCCTTTTTTTTCCTGAGAGCTTGTAAACGAAACGGTTCGAGATTCACGTGGGAATAAAGATAACATTTTATTACGCCTAATTGTGTTTGTTTTATTTATTTTAACTCACAACAAGGTATCTTGTTAGTAGCATAAGTTCGTACTGACAAATTGGTGACCTCCGACGTGATCTGAATGAAAACCCGACGTGATCTGAACCAAAATCCGACGTGATTTGAACGAAAATTCCACGTGATTTGAACGAAAATCTCACGTGATTTTGAACGAAAATCCGACGTAAAAAGAAATACGAAGATCCACGGGGTAAGATCAAAACGAAAAAATGTTCCAACCAAATGATGACCCTATCGCCATATTACCTCTTTTCAAGAAAACAGCGTCAACAGATTGGTTCGAGAATTCCGAAATGCAATTTCAATTGCGAAACGTGGTGTGTAAAACAATAAGATTCTATCACGTAATAATTTTCCTGCCGTTGGATATAGTCTCCAATTTGTCATTAAAAGTGCAAAGAGGAACAGATTACGACGCTCTAAAAGCAGAGTTATTATCAACGTTCAAACAAACCAAACCAGAGAAATTCCAAGAAAAAGAATCTTTTAAAATAAACTTGAATCTGATGAATGTAAACAAAATTGAAGAGAGGCAGCCACCAAAAGAGTCCAATAAAATAAAAGTTGTCCTGAGCAAGAACAAAGATGAAAATGACATCCAACAATCACAACAGCAAAATGCTGAGCAGAATGTTACCATCCCATCAGCAAATTCACACATGAACGATTCTCTCCTTCTAGTTCTTTCTCTTCCTTCTCCTGTTCAACAGCAGCAGCAACAAGATCATCACAGAAAGAGAAAAGCAGAGCATAGTTCATCGTCCTCACATACATCTCATTCTAGAAATCGTTTGCAGCTGGACAGAAGGTTGCATGAGAGGCCAGAACAAAATTTGAACCAGCAACCAAAACGGCAACCGCGTTTTCAGCAACAACGCCATCATCAACATCTCATGAAACAAGATAAATGTCAACCAAATTATCAGCGACAAAAACATCATTACGAGAAACAAGTTAAACGCCAGCGATATCAATACCAACAACCACATCTTCAAAGAAGAGTGGAAAAATCAAATTCAACTCAAAAAACAAACATTTTTCCATTTGAATGGCTCCGCCTCTTGCGAGGGAATATTGTGAAAATGAAATATCTCCAGCAATAGCAGTAACAGGAACCAACTTATTATTACCTAGTCGATTTTTATTCCCAGATTCAAATGAAGAGATAACATCTAGTCAAATCAAACAACTAGCGAAAGAAATGTTTAAACTTAATGACTACCTAACAACTAACAATCAACATCACTCTACCCCAAAAGCTTACGTACCAAACGACCTTTCAAACAGTAGTCACGTATGGTTAAGAGTAGATCGAGTACGCGTCCACTGGAAGCACCATATACTGGCCTTTTCAAAGTGATTGAACGTAACGATAAATACTTTAAAATTGAACTGTTACCAGGAAATTTTCAAAATGTGTCAATTGATCGATTAAAGCCAGCTTGTTTATCATTACCTCTAACAGACAAAACCAGAATAAACAACAAGAATAGTTCGACAACGAACAACAAACTTTCTACAACAGATTCAACAAAACCAGCAACATCAGACACAAAATCTACTGAAGCACCAGAAACAGCAACAACAACATCAGGCGCAACAACAACACAAGAAACAAGACCGAATCCGAACCAACGACCCAACACTCCAGAAAAGGGAGGCGAATAACATTCAACAAACGAAATGAATATTTTTATTTTTAAAACGGCTCCGCCTTTTGTGGGGGAGTATTGTAGGGATCGAACATTTATTTATTAACTATCTCATATATTAATTATTATTAAAGATTATTACAATTTTCAATGTTTCCTAATCTATGTTAATTTTTATGTCTTTGCTTCTCTCTCGACTTCTTCCCTTTTTTTTCCTGAGAGCTTGTAAACGAAACGGTTCGAGATTCACGTGGGAATAAAGATAACATTTTATTACGCCTAATTGTGTTTGTTAGTTGCATAAGTTCGTACTAGCAATGCATTTCAGAAAATTGTACAAGATTCGACACTATTTGAAAAGATCTAGCATGGAAACACTGGTACATTGCTTTTATTACATCCAGATTAGATTATTGTAACAGCTTATACTTTAAAATACCTGACAAGTCCATAGCTGTACTTCAGTCTATTCAAAATCGAGCTGCAAAACTTGTCACAAAAAATCTGAAGTTCGATCACGCGACTCCAATCTTGAATGACCTACACTGGCTAAAAATTGAAAAAAGAATAATTTTCAAAACTGCTGTCTTAACGTTTCGGTCATTACATGGTTTAGCACCACAGTATTTGGCAGACATGTTCATCAGAAAAACATCTGTGTTGGGTTCGCAGTTGAGATCAAATGACATGAACCTCCTGGTTGTGCCGACAACGAATTTACAGACCGGATCATGCAATATTGCTGTTGCTGGACCGGTGGTTTGGAACAGTCTACCGCGTTTCTAAGAAGACCAGATATATCATCGTTTTTATTTAAAAAGGAACTGAAGACTCATTTATTTTCGCAGATTTAACAATGTCTTTGTCTTCGTTTGATTAATATTTGGTTTGTTCATTTATTTTAGGGAGCGCTTTTGAGATCTTTTTTTTGTAATTAGCGCTGTACAAATTGACTTGTAATATATATAGATATTTATGTTTATATATCCATCGCTGGTATATTTCAATTCAGTTCAATGAGTACAACAATGAAAATAGAATTTAATTTATTTCCATACATATGAAATAAAGTATTTTATTATAGAATTATATAAAGTATAATTCCAAGTACGTTTATTTTAAATAAAACTGCCTGGGGATGATCAGTCACTGATTTCTGAGACACTTTTAAATTTTAATCTATTTTACACTTAAACGTTCTGTCGCGCGTAATTCAAATTTTTAACGGTTTTTAAATATTTTAATTTTATGCGAACTGCTAATTTTCGTTCGTGAATATTTTGAAGTTTTGCCTATATGAAGGACCAGATTAAAGAGCCGCCGAAATTCCCAGTTACTTATTTTAGTTTATTTTATTTTCTCTACGTAGCACATCAATTTGTTAACTATTTTATTTTTTTTTATGTTTATCATCCATATTCAGTTTTTACTTTCTAATTCATTATTATATTATTATATTTTTTATTTAAACTTTTTTTTCAATTAATTAATAAAAATTAATTGAATTATTTAATTATTAGCAGAAATATTAAAACCATTTTTGTTTGTTGAAACTCTTATTTAATTTAATTTAATCTTAATGTTTATCAAATGCAATAATTAATCTAAAAAAAAGTAAAAGAGAGCATTATGAATTGAATTGAATTTAATTTAAAATTGAAGGAACACGAAGAAGTGGATGGAGTTGAAGGCCTTGAAATTCTTCTACCCGATGTATTTTACCAAATTTTTTTTCATTAAATTTTTCTTTGGTTATTTTTATTTATTTCATTTTATTTACAATAGAATAGTCAAATACTTGTTATGTTCTCATTTGTTTTTATGCAATAAAATCAATTTTAGTACTAATTTTTAAAATGTACACTGGCTTAATTTAGATTTTTAACAGTCTGTCACAAAAATTTTTTTTTGCCTATGAAGCAAATTGTTTTTATTACTTGCCTTGTTCTACTTTTGAACCTTATTAATGAAGATATTATTTTTTGTATCTTCTTCATAACTGCCAATTATTTTTAGTTTTGTCAGTTTCACACTGTGAACTGAACAAACCTATATGAAAAATATAGAATAGAATAGAATAAATTTCCAGTGCAGGCAAAGCCTCTTGTCACCATAATGTAAACTGATTTTTAGGAATAAATAATTTAAATAATTAAAATGCTTGGTTGAAAATGTTCAGTTTAACTTTACATCTTTTGGTTTGATATCTTTACTTCCATATTTAGAATTTACTCTGCAAAATTTATCTAAGGCTTTCTTGAAGCTAGTAATGTTGTCTGATTTGACCACATTTTCAGGTAGGCCATTCCAGTCATTTACTATTTTATCGGTGAAGTAATATTTTCTTAAATCTTTTCTGCAAATCCACTTTATCAACTTCATATCATTTCCTCTTGTCCCCACAGTAGGTGCGTAGTCTGGTTTTATATCGACATCCAACAGTCTATTAAGCAATTGATAAGTTGATATGTCTCCTCTTTTGCGTCTGTAAACAAGTGAAGACCACCCTAGAAGCTTTAACTCGTCCTCGTATTTTGATCCTCTGCACTGAAGTGGTTTATGGATGCTCGTTTCTGATCCGTTTCTAAGTGTTGAATTTGGTATTTTCTAAAGGGGTACCACAAAATTACACCATACTCCAGAATTGACTTAACCATAGATTACTAAAGAAGCGAAAAAGCTGCTATAGATGCATTTTTTAAATTACGTTTAAGCAAAACAGCCATTCTGTTTGTTTTTCTAGCAGTCTGAAAAACATGATTGTTAAAAATCAGTTTGGAGTCTATAAGTATACCAAGATCCATAGTTTTTTTTGCCTCAGTTAGAGGCATCTCTACTCCACTTTTCTTATTAAAGTATATGTTGAGAACTACTTTTGACCTTCAATTTTTAATACAGAACACTTCGAAGCATTTCCTTTAAACCCACATCTCAAGAACCAATGACTTACTAAAGTTCTCAGAAACGATCGACAGTCTTCTTCAGTCTGAATCTGCAACATCATTCATGTAGATGATAAATAGGAGTGAACCGAGCACGCTGCTTTGAGGCACTCCGCTTGTGATCTTATTTGGCTATGATAATGCATCTCCACTTTTTACCCGAAATGTTCGATTAGTCAAGAAACTTCTGATCCACCCAATATAGAAATATAGAAGTTGTGTAACAGTAGTTCTGCCTGGGAGGAATCCAAACTGCTTTTTAGAGAAAAGATTGTTACTTTGAAAGTGATCCAGTAAGTCTTTGACAATTGCTTTCATTAACTTGCAAGGTATCGATGTTAAAGAGAGATTGGTCTGTAGTTTCTTACATCTGATTTTGTGCCTTTTTTATAGATTGAGATGACTGTGCTTAATTTCCAGTCTGCTGGTACCTGTTAAGATTTCAATGACAGATTGAACATGCTGCACATGTATATCGACAAAGATGTTTTACATTCTTTGAGGATACGAGGGTGTGTTTCATCTGGTCCTGACGTTTTAAAAATGATAAAATGATCACGTTTAATTATAGTGAGCCAGGAAATATTTCAATAGTTGTGATGTTATTTTAAATTTATTATCTCAGGGGCAGATCTACATCAAGCCACATGACCAGCTTGAATTAACTGCAGAGGTTAACGTTTGCCATTCAACTTTCAATTTATCAATATTTTAAAATTTTAGTTATAAATTATAAGAATTTTAAAATGATGATTTATGAGAATAGTATCCTATGTTTAATTAAGAGACCTGAGCGATTAAAATTTTTGAAACCACTACAAAAATATTTGCAACAAAAAAACTGCAACTGCTCGCGGTTTAACCACATATCCGCGGTTACTATCACCAACCTATACTAAATCATTTAAATTTTTAAATATTTATGTTCGTGTAAATTATAAATTTAATCACAAATGAAAAATAAACTGTTTAAAAAAAGTTCAGTAATTTGAGCTTCAGGTCTTTATCTCTTCATTTGTTGTACTCCATCTGGGTCTAAACTTGATCTTCAACTAAAATCTAAATCGCCAAACAGCCGCGGTTTTAAATTATGCGGGTTAAAATTTTAAAACTGCAACTGCCAGAATTAAAACTGCAACCACCCAAAACCATGCTTGCGGTGTGGTTTTTCGGTTAAAAACGCGGTTGCGGTTAACATCACAGTGCTTTATTTTATAATTAACATGTGATTATTTTTGATGTTATTTAATGCTTCATTATCATATTTGGCGTTTCGATAATTTGTTTTAAGCATTTTTTCATCGCTCATAATGTGAAACCAATCAACCAATCACTTTGAATCTTGCCGTCTGATGTTTCTTTTCCACAAATTTTTACTGCAGTAATTTATTTAATCATCATCGCTCTGTTTGATTCAACATGAAAGGACCCTGTGGAGTTATCTAAAAAATTAAATTTAATAAAATTAATTTAGCTGCAAAAATATAAAATATGGTTCAGCTATTTTATCAAGTGCCCGTTGTCCGTGAAGAGATGCATTAAACCTTGGAAACATTTTCACAATTAACCGGGACAAGAAGAACAAAAAAACAATTTGAATGATTAAATAAATTTTAATATGGGCTGGATGAACAGCTTTTTTGTTTAGTAAGACAGTATTTGTAATAATTTAAAAGAATAATTAAAAAATAAAAAATTTGTAAATTTGTAATAATCAAACAAAATTTATTAAAAAAATGTAGTTTAAATTAAGCTAATAAAGGTCAATTTTTCCATACATTTTTAGTGTCTCCAAAGTTTGAAAATGTCATAACATAGCGCGGTAAGTGTATTAAATATTGGAAAGTTAAATATAGATTTATGTTCATATCGGGATATACGTCTGTTAGAACACTCCCTGAAAATTGTCGAGAAAATCATTGAGAGAAGGTTAACGTCGTGCATCACAATCGGAAATTATCAATTTGGTTTCCTAGCGGGTAAATCAACAATTGATGCAATTCATATCTTTCGGCAACTGCAAGAGAAATACCTCGCAAAGCATCAACAACTATCACACATTTTTGTAGACCTTGAAAAAGTATTAGATCGAGTTCCCCGTGAAGCAATCAAGTGGAGTCTACGTCGACAACTCATTCCAGAATATCTTGTTCGACTTGTGATGGAAATGTATACAAATACTAAGACTCTCGTCAGCACAACGGTTGGAAACACAGATGCATTTGACATCGGCGTTGGAGTTCACCAAGGCTCGATTCTCAGTTCACTGTTATTTATAACTGTAATGGAAGAAATCACAAAACCGATACGCACTGGTGACATTTGTAATCTAATAAATGCTGATGATATCGTTATAACAGCCACGTCTGAGCAGAATGCAGCACAGATATTTGAAGATTGGAACACCAGACTCTCCAATCATGGATTCAGTCAACATCAGCAAAACCAAAGCAATGAACACTGGTGAACCCAAGTAATCTACAGCTACTGGAAGATAGCCCTATTCAGTTTGTAAAGCTGGTGTAGGTAACAATTCAATCAAGTGTCAGCAGTGTAACCAGTGGTGTCACAAACGTTGTTCAAAAATAATTGGTACTTTATCTAAAGTGTCCAATTTTGTTTGTCCTGCTTGCATCAATCCACAACAACAAATTCGAAATAGCAATGTTTTTGAAGCCATTAAGGTAGAAAAAGTCACATCGTTTCAATATCTAGGAGATGTTCTGGATTGTACTGGAACAGCTGAAGCTGCCGTCCGAGCACGCATAAGTGCAGCCTAGAATAAATGGCATCTCCTTGCCTCTATATTGATGCGGCCCACTACCACTCCGATCAGGACTTTATATATCTGTGATACGTCCGGTGTTGTTATGTGGTGCAGAAACATGGCCAATGACAACCAAACTGGAACAACAACTTCAACGAACCGACATGATAATGCTCCGATGGATGCAACGAATTAGTCTGAAGGACCACATCAAATCAACCGAAATCCTGCGTCGTGTAGGTTTAGATGATATAAAGGACGAATGCCGGCAACAACGTCTGCGGTGGTTTGGTCATGTCAAACGAAGTGGAAACAGTGCCATAACTTTTCTTGCAAGTGTTGAAGTACCTGGCACACGTCCCAAAGGCCGTCCAAAGAAATCCTGGTCGCAAACAATCAAGCAAGACATGAAAGCTCTAAATTTAAATGAAATGGATACAACTGATCGTCTAATTTGGCGCAAAAAATTGATGGCAAAGAAAACAACGTCCTACCTCGGGGAACTGGGTCTCTGGACGCTAAACGAAGATTGATATTGATTATGTTCCTTTTTCATGTCTTATGCAGGAGTTGAAAAAGGAGATTTCAAATACACTCTACACATTCGACCCCAATGCTATTGTTGACAGTGTCCATTACAACTATCTGGTAGATATTTTAATTAAATGATTTAATTTAATGTTGATCAAAATATCTTTAACGATGAACTTTGTTTTGTTGTTTTTCTTTGCTATTGCATATTATATATTTTTCATATTCAAATTTAGATTTTATTTAGTCTCTTCAAATGCGTGTTTGTTCTTTATCTTATTATGGTAATGATATGTCAAAATATTTTAAGGTATAAACTTGAAAAAAATTATTAAATATAATTTCGTTTAAAATGATAAATTAATTTTTTGAAGGCAGTTTTGATGAAACTACAAAATTTGTTTCACTTGTTATAGGAGCAAGCTTACCAGAAGATAGAATCAATCAACCACTTGGCAGTGTTTATATCAAACGAGGCTCATCTCATTCCATTAGTTCCTACTGACACCCAATCAAACCAAATTGAATGCTAGCCTTTCTGTCTTTAATAACTTGACACATTTTTCTTTTGAGATTTTATAATCAATGAAAGCATTTTAGTAGTGAATATTGCGCCAGTTAGAAAGTTTAATTATTCAAAATTTGTTGCCTAAGGAATTTTAAATCAGTGGTGGATTTAGAGTTTTTCGGCGGAGAATGATTTCAAAATATCAGCTGATGACCTTTTTTTGCAGATTTGCATTTATTTTATTAATACAATGTCATGCACAAAATCTTCAAATCTTCAATTTTTTCCATGGATCCCACATTGCCCCCTAAACTCACCACTGCTTAACTTCATTAAATATGCAATTAAATACTGACAGGCAGTACATTTATTCAGTTTTATGTCCTCACATAGAAGGCGTGTTTGTTTTAATTTCAAGTATTACATTATATGAGATTTTTTTTTTGTTTTTACAACGCTTATTGTTTTTACTTGATGATTTTTGATGGAATTGAACACGTAACAGATGAAAAAATAGAGGGTGAAGCGGAGGATCAGTCGGCAACTTGTAAGCAGCCAAGCGATACGATCTTGTATTTTCATTTTCTAAATGTTGTCTTCTATTACCTTTAAAACGATTAGTTGAATCAATCAAGTCGGAACTAGGGGTGGGGGTGGAAGCAAACAGGGTAAGTTCTCTGGGCCACAAATTTTATGGGGGCGCAAAATTTGAAAAGTTTTAAAAATTGAAAAAGTTATTTACAAAGTAGCACAATGACAATTGCTTGGTGAGGGTGAGGTCAAACTAATCTCTGACACCCCCTCCCATGACAAATCTTTTAGTAAGTTCCGACCCTGTGATACATTAACAATTAGTAATGCCATAATCATTGATCCTTGAAAGTGATTTTGAGAAGTCCTGAAGGAGAGGAGGAGGAGGAAGAAGAAGAGGAGGAAGAGGAGGAAGTCGAAGATGCTAAGATGGCCAAAAAATCAATCTTGAAAAATGAAACGAAAAAGAAATCTTTCTTCGAGGAGGTCATTCTTTTATTATTTTTCATTTCAGTTAACCAAAGTTAATTAAAATTAGTTATTTATTTTTTTACAATCACCATTTGATCAGTCCTGGCGATGATTTGTTGTCGATACCTCCAAACACAAGATTCCATAACATTTATTTCCATTGTTTTTATTATCATTGAATTTAAAGTTTTGTTTTGAAATTATGTACACAGCGTAATAAGAGAAAAGCAGAAATGCCAAAAAATTCTTTTTTTTATATATTATAATTTGTAACCATCAATTCGAGATTGAAATATGCACGGCAAAGTAATGAATTTGAGAGGCAAGCAGTCAAATGTTTTTGGCTGATGAGGAGTTCTTGAGGCAAGCGGTTGAAATCATTCTCGACAATATTTATCGACGCATCAGCGTTTGCACTCATTTTGTTCATAAGTTTCATGATGTCGCACTTATTCAGGATGATGGTTTGGAAAAGGTTGCAATGCTGAGGAGCAGAAAAATGAAGAATCAATTCGATTTCAGGGACAGAGCCACACAGACTTTCTACATGAGGCCCAAGGTGAAACACACGCCGTCCTTATAATCATTGTACTAACTTTTATTTTTATTTTATCGGCAACAAGATGACAGTAAGGTTATCAGTTGTCATCACTATGTATATTCAAAGAATCATAGTGAGGAAACACTATGTGAGCAATGATGAAAAAAAATAATAATAACTGTCTTTTTCATATAAAATCTTTATGTGAATCATAAAGAATTTTATTATTGACTTGTTCCTTTTCTAGCAGTTGTCCGTTCATGAGGCCTGTCATGCTTCAAAGGCGGTTGATAAAACTACAAAAATTGATAACATGAGAAAACGTAAAAGTTTTTGTGATGTCTGTTTTTGCTTTTAAAATTGGTCTTCTATAGAAAACTGAAAAAGGTTATAAAAAGTGAGTTTAAAAGAAACTTTTTAATGACAAAAGTGCCTGTCAAAAGTTTTAATTTTTTCGCAAAATATTTTTTTGAAGTAAAGATTAAAGTTCGTTTTATATTTTAGCAAAACTAAAAGTTTTGAAAGTTTCTGAAATATTGTGGTCAGCATTTTATGTAAATTTGGTGTGTGCATGAAATTACAAAAGATAATGGTTACAGCAGGATATCATATGGAATTGAATAACGTAATAATATCAATTTAGCGATTTCAAATTAAAATAAGGGCGCATTAATTATCAATGCATATTACACGTCACCAGACTATAGATATTAAAGAGTTGAAAATCAACTGACGTATCGATGAAAATTAAACGATACACGAATTATAATAATGACTCATAGATTAACAATACATATTAAATGCCATTACAAATAGAAGGTACGTTGTGCGTTTCACCTCTTATAATCTATCAAACTTTGAACCCTGAATAAGGACATGGTGATCATCAAACCTTTTTTGTTGACTGTAAAGCCAGCAATACCATTCTCGCTTTAAGAAATCGACAGCTAACAGTTCCTGCTTTTTAAACATTGGGTTAAATTTATCGGGAATGATCCTTAATCCTTTCATTCCAACCATCAATCTTTGCCTGCATGATAGTAAATACTAAAACAATTATTATTTAACGTTGTTAGGTTTTACTTATATTCAATCAATTTCAAAGAATTTTTCGACATTTGAAATTTTACTTTTTCACTGACACGTGTTATTTCCAAATAGGACAAAGAATGCATAACAGAGGAGACTCCAACTGAGACGTATGGAGGAACCGTCACGCAGTGGAACATTTATGACGCCTACATCAAGAACTGGGAGGAGATGGTCTCTGCAACTTATTATTATCTCGTTTAAATAAACGTTCATATAGTCTAACTGTGTAATATTAAAGTTTCTGCTTTTTAATAGCAGCATTGTCTTATAAGTTTAATTCTGGGTAGAAAAAATTTTCAAATTTTAACATTAACTCTCGTTAATTAAATTTTATCTGTCGAGAATCAATATTCAATGGCAATATTCTGAATGATTGAAAACAATGTAGGTTAACCGATTATTGTTTTTTCAAAAACAACGTCTTCATCTACCTGCATGTTCAATTATATATTAACACTCAATTTTTGGTAAATATGCAATAAAGGAAAAAGACAAAGAAAAGCTTAGAGATAGATCAAAATTGGTTCACAGGAGAGACAAGAAAGCTGATGCTTCTGGACATTTTGAGGTCAGCTGTTTCATTTAAGTTATTGGATATAATCTACAAATACCAAATTATTTTTTATGTTGATTAATGTGTTTTCTGCTACATCATTACAGCAGTCTTCAAACTTCGTGGATCACATCATTCCTAATTTGAAAATCATTGAAAGAATGATCCAATTGAACATTTATAATGACATTGCCTATGGTTCGTTAAATTATATCAATATATTCATTATTATTTTACATTTTATTGCATTTGTTCATCTGTGTACGTTTTTTAATTTTAATTTAGTCTTTCATATTTCTACAGATTTTAGGTATTTTGAAGATGCAGCAGACGAGTACAGAATTCCATACGGAACATTGCTACCTCTCTGGCGGTTTCATTACAAAACTTCTAAAAAACTTGTGGTTACGTCACTTTGTTGGAACTCTAGATATCCCGACATGTTCGGTGTGGGACTTGGATCATGTGAGGCAACCGTTTTTCTCAAATCGTTCCGATAATAAAAGATTTTCACCAGCTAGATTGTATCATTTTCAATTTCCGGCAGATAACTTTTTGGCTCAGTCAACTGGTCTCATTGTTTTTTATAGCCTGATCAATCCTTCTTATCCTGAATTTTCATACCATTTGGAGTCAGGAGTCATGAGTCTTGATATTAGCAGCAGCAACACCTACCTCGTTGTCGTCGGCCTTTACGATGGCTTGTTGCTTTTCCTTCGAAATATAACGCTTTTTTATATTTTTAGACAATATTTTATATGAAGGCAAATATATTTTATCATTTGTTCATATTAATATTAATAATTTATTTGAAAATATGTTTGATAATCTAAATATTTTTCGGAATGTAGGAAATGTTGCAGTATACAACTTATTGAGCAGGTCAGAGAAGCCTTGGATCACTTCAACGTGCCACGATAAACACACAGATCCAGTGTGGCAGGTATTCCTACTTCTTCATTGGTCAATTTTCTAGTTTTCAACTCATTTTCATTTGAACAGGTCAGATGGTTGGGACTGAATCTGTACGACAATTTGACGTTTGCATCCATATCATCTGATGGTCAGGTGCTTCTTTGGGCTGTTTCCAAGGTTACCAAAATTTATTTTTCATCCAACATTGTTTTGTTTTCATTGAAAGATTGAAAACAAACTGCATTCAAACGTAATTTTTGCAACTTCCATATTTACAATCAGTGTTGCCATCGAACGATTGTTATAAGTGTCATAAAAAATTTATACTTTGTTTCATGAATGATGATCAAATAAAAATTATGGATTTGCATTGATTCGAAATGAGTTTTTCAAATTCCCTTCATGATCAAAAGCCTGTTAACAATTTCATAAAATATTCTTGCGTAAAGTAACGAACCAACTTAATGATGAAAATTGTTGATATTCTAACTTTATTCATGCCTGAGACATATTTTTGTCGGTTATAAAAAATTACAAATGCTATTTAAAGTATAGCTATGGATTAAAAAGCATCTCGTGCCGTTAATCTTGTCATCTATCTAGATTTTGTCAACGATATTGCGTTAGTGTTCTTGTTTTGTTACGGAGGCGTAGATGTGACTTCCGTAAAGCAGTTTATTTTGATGATTTATCAAGTTAATTTTTGTTGTTAAAGCTGTAATCTCTCCAACTAAAACCAAAAAACGAATTTTGTTACTCATATTATGTTTGGTTTATATCAGGTAATTTGAAATTTAAGGTTGCACGCTAATTTTTAGTTTGTAAAGACCCACATTGAATATTATTGGCAACATTAGTTATCGACAAAAGTTAATCGCTAAAACTAAAAGTGCCACATTTCGCGCTGCTATTACACGATGGCAGTCTACAGTTGCAGTCTGGGTTTAGTTGGTACTTGAAGAGTCATGTTACAAATAATATACACAAAAATAATAAAGAGTACTTGTTCAGTTTTGTCACGTTAGTCTGGCGTCAAATATGAAAGATGCCCAGGACATTTGCTTAACGATGTGTCAACATGAAATATTGTTAAAAAAGAAGTTAGCTGCCTAACTCACAAACCATGTATTGTTTGCCTTCGGTATAATGTTAGAAAAAACAATTATTGCTGTAATATTAAACACAATTATTTTGACTTGAAGTAACAAACAATACGATAATTTTTCGTATCGTTATTATGAAGTCTCGATTAAAATGAATCTAACTAAAAATATGAACACTCCATTTTTAAATTGACAGAACCAGTTGCAGCCTCAAAAGTTGATGACGATAGACTTCGTTGATTATCCTGTACCGGAGGTGGAAGGCACTCACATCGAAATATGCAGTAAATCTTAAGCTGTTAATTTTTTCAAATTAACTTCCTGTTTAACTTTTCGATTTTTCTAACGGTTAATCGTAAATCATTCTCAAGTTTCTTGAGTTCAAAACCAAAATTTGTGTTTATTTTATGCATGATAGAACAAAAAGCTTTTTTCGGTATTCCTATACCATCTTCGGTGTTCGAAGTGATGCGTTGTATATGTAGCCAAATGCTCAAATATATATACTGCTTCTCCACTCTACTTTGTTGATTCCTTGTTTGAACTCAAGAAACTTGAAAATGATTTACGATCGACCGTTAGAAAAATCGAAAAGTTAAACAGGATGTTAAATAACGCCGAACATGCCGTGATTATCAACAATAATATATATATCAATCAAATCAATCTTCGTTAAGCGTCCAGAGACCCAGTTTCCGCGAGGTAGGACGTTGTTTTCTATGCCATAAATTTTTTGCGCCAAATTAGACGATCAGTTGTATCTATTTCCTTTAAATTTAGAGCTTTTATGTCTTGCTCGATTGTTTGCGACCAGGACTTCTTTGGACGGCCTTTGGGACGTGTGCCAGGTACTTCAACATCTGCAAGAGAAATTATGGCACTGTTTGCTCTTCGTTTGACATGACCAAACCACCGCAGACGGTGTTGCCGACATTCGTCCTTTATATCATCTAAACCACACGACGCAGGATTTCGGTAGATTTGATGTGGTCCTTCAAACTAATTTGTTGCATCCATCGGAGCATTTTCATATCGGTTCGTTGAAGTTGTTCCAGTTTGGTTGTCATTGGCCATGTTTCTGAACTATATAAAGGACGAATGTCGGCAACACCGTCTGCGATGGTTTGGTCATGTCAAACGGAGAGCAAACAATGCCATAATTTCTTTTGCAGATGTTGAAGTAAACAATGGTCGGATACAACTGATCGTCTAATTTGGCGCTAAAAGTTGATGGCAAAGAAAACAATGTCCTACCTCGGGGAACCGGGTCTCTGGACGCAAAACGAAGATTGATATATATATATATATATATATATATATATATATATATATATATATCAACTATTTAACCATTGGTTTTTATTTAAACATTTTGGGCTTATTCAGTGTAATCTTGAATTGTTTTTATCTTTAATTTACGTGGTTTTTATTCCCTTTGTCTTTATACCATTACATAATATGGGTGGTGTTTAGGGTTAGGGTTTATTTTATGACGAACATTTTCTCCTCGTTAAATTTATGATGATTTTAAAAATTGTAAACAGTCTTACAACGTTTCTCTCATTCTTCTCAAATCTCCTTTTATCCTAATATTATTTTTTTCTGAAATGCATCGTATGCATATGTATCGGAAGGGAATTCAACTAAGCAATAATATATTGTATTTGAATCGCCTGTTACCTTAATCGTGGTGTTCATAAACTGTTACAGCAATTATGTTAGTTTTTGCACATCAATGAGTTTTAAAGTATATTTATTTGACATATAATGCAACCAAAATTTAATTATCAAAAATTTATTTATGTAAATTTGTTGAATTTTAATAAATGTTTTTTGGATCCTTCATAATATAAATGAATTGACGTCTGATTAAATGAACTCTATGGTTTACAACAAATGGAACTGTTAATATGTTTGTAATTAATATGATGAAAAAACTCTACTTCAAAAACTTTAGATGGAGGCACAACGTTTGATTTTCATCGATCACGCGCTGATTTCTATGTTTTGGGAACCAAGGAAGGAGACATTCGAGTTTGCAACCAATCGCACACAAATCATCACTCCATCATGTACAAGGCGCACTATCTGAGTGTTTATAAGGTTCAATGGAATGACTACCATCCAGATATTTTTATATCTTGTAGTGCTGATTGGACTATCAAAATTTGGGACGTCTCCGTCAAAACTCTGTGCGTCCTATAATTTTTGTGTGTGTTAAAACTATTAGCAAACTACAAAATAAAATAAGCTCATACAAGTGTGTTTATGATTTAACCTCAATGCAAGTGTTTTCATGTTTACATACAACTAACTATTGATTATTTATGTGATTAGTGTGATTTAATGTGCCTTTGTGATTTAAATGATAACGTTTTATGACCGTTTTAACTCAACGTGGAGACCGGATTTTTTCCAAATTGACTCATTGTGTGCAGCATCTGAGGTTTATATGACTTTGTGCAAAAGACAGAAAATGTGTTCTGTTTGGCATTCGTTTAGGAAATGTTTTGAAAAAAGTTGAAAGTAACTTCGGAATGGAGAGAGCACAGATTTTTCAAGCTAAGATAGAGTTAATAACAGACCGAGAAGTTATAAGTTTGATGAACTATTTGATTGAGATTTTTGTTTATTAATTTAATGTGTTAAACTATTTATGTAATTTACTTCTTTAAAATAGTGAACCGATGTTTTTGTTCGACCTTGGCTGTTCCGTGGAAGATGTAGCTTGGGCTCCATATTCGTCTACCATATTTGCCGCTGTCACATCATCTGGACACGTTAGAAGATACAAATTTTTTATATTTTTCTTGCTTCTCTTTTCAAGGAGAACTGCTTAAAATATAGCGACTGATTAATATTTATCAAGGCTTATGTGTTTGACATGAAGTTCGATAAAACCGAACCTTTGTGTAATCAGTATTTGGTAGCCAGAAAGAAAACGAAGTTAACGAAAGTAGCATTTAACGCCAAATATCATATTCTTATAATAGGGGATGACAAGTATTTTGACGTTTTTATATACCTTAATTTTAATAATAAATTTATTATATATATTTATATTTGTTCATCATGTTTGTTCTGGCAAACCGTAAAAATAGTACAAAGTCATATCGATAACCAGCTTAGTTTCGCTAACCGAATGACTTTTTAAGATAAAAAGTGATGCTTCAAATTTGGTAAAGATTGGTTTGTTGGTTTATTACCAATTGTGTTTTTTATTATATAATTTTGAGCGTTTAGTTTTAATAAATTAAGTGGTAGCTTGAAAGTTATTGAAAAACTTTTGCAAACGATTAGAATATAATTCTGTTCTCGTATTTCCAGCCATACATTTTGAAACATCAACAAAAACTATTGAAAATAAAATGTTTTTTCAAAAGTTATTATATACTATCTATTATTTTCCCATATCCTATATCCTACTTTTGAGAAGAAATGAAAAATTAAATTTTATAGCGTCATTTAACCTTTTACAAAAATTGCATAGAATATAACAAAAAAAAAATTCAATTTTTAGAGGGGCGATTACTACTTACAAATTGTCACCTAATCTTAGAAGGATTCCAAAAAAAGTAAATGTTGACATTTAGTCTTTCCTAGGCATATTTTACGATGAAAATTTTTTCAAGGATAAAAAGGCGTTTGAAGCTGAAACGCAAATGATGTCTCCAGAAGAGAAAGAAAAGGTCAGAAGAGAGACTGAGTACAAATATCTTGAAAATATTATTTCAATGGCCAGACTTGGAGCCAAAGTTACTGATTGAAACATATTTTTAGTATGATTATGTTTTTGAAGTGAAAGTTTTAAAATAAATTTGTTCGTTCGTTTGCTTGTTTGTTTTTTCTCAAGTTACAGATTCACGCGTTAACATTATGTATAATATTTATACTGAGTTTTAGACTCGTATGTATACAGTATTTCTTTGATGTTTTATGGAAAACGTCAAAAAAACCATCAAAAAAATCACTGGAAAAAGGGCTTGTATCGTTTTTGGATGCATAAAAGCTTAATCAGGTGAAGTAATCTTAGAGAAAGAAAAAGTATACTTGAAAGATGGACTGAATACATTAACGATCTTTTTAGAATGAATACATTATCTTTGTCTTTTATTCAGGCTATTTGCGAAATTGTTGATTGCTTCAGATTGTATTTTTTTTCTATTTACATTTTACATGAACAATTTCGTTTCGGTATCATTTAGTTGCCGTCGTTTGAGCAGTATTTAACAAAGGGATGAAAAGTGTTGAACCCATGGATATATATATATATATATATATATATATATATATATATATATATATATATATATATATATATTGGTAGCAGACTGTTGTTAACGCAACATTTCAAAAATTCAACACTACTTTCAACATTGTTCAACTGTATTATATTTCTTTTTATTTTATTAATTTTAGAGAAATTAGACATTTTATTGTTTTTTTTTTAAATTTTTATTAAATAAATTTGCAAATAGCTATTTCGAGTTATAGATAACTCATCTTCAGTGCATTATATATAAGATATGTAAGATATTTGATAAGAAGGAACAAGTAATTATTAATTTATAAAAATTATTCAATTAAAACAGAAAACCAATAAAATAAATTTAATAACTATAAACAATATAAAACGCGATCTTTAAAAATTTTAACGGCAAGATTGTTTATATTATGGTTGTTAAGGTAAATATCAACGTTCAGCCGAGAAGCGCGAATTAATTTATTGAATTAACTACATATTATTAATTAACTAAATAATATTCAGGATCATCTGATTTAAAAGGTCCATTAATAGGCGAGTTTATTATTAACGCGGCAAATTATTATTATCAAAATCCACACGATTCCATGAACGAACCAGTCTTTTTTTTCTAACAAAATAATTTAGCGGAAACGAAAAACATACTTGGACAAGACCATGATCGGAATAAATACCATATGGACCTACGGTACATGAGGACACAGGCAATTCCATTGAGGATGCCACTAGATCCAAGATACCACCTTGTACATGGGTAGATTCCTTAACTCTATTTTCAAGGTTAAATGCATGAAAAACATCTACCAACCGGATTGAATGAGTATCTCCAACCTTTTCCAAATGAACATTCAAATCCCCCGTAAGAATGACATAGACCGCCAATAACGAAATCTGCTCCAAGAGTGATGTAAGCTCATCAAAAAATTAGGAGTAATTGGTACAGAACCCGGTCGATAAACTGCCAATAACAGAATCGTTTTTTTACCGCACCAAAATTTAATAGCAAGTGATTCAAAGGAATTTACCACTGGTAATTCTATTTTTTTAATCTTGAAAACATTCTTAAAATTTACAATTATTCCTCCATGATTAGGGTCGTGTGGGCGCAAATAATCCATAAATTAGAAGTCCTGAGGCATAGCCAATTTCACAGAAATATCATCAGATGATCCATGCCATGTTTCGGTCAGTATACATATATCTAAATCATTTGATAACAAATCATGAATTATATCATATTTTGACCGAATGGATCTAATATTAAGCAATCCCAAATTTAATCCGGTTTGGTAGCAGGCCTTGGATATCTCACTATTCTCCATTGCTTTTTACCTTGTCTGAATATTTTCAATATGTCATCATCTTTCAGAGACTCGTCTGTTAGGGACCTTAAAAAGCCAAGAACATTGCCCCTATCTTTAGCAACATCCAAGTCTTCGCTGAAATTAAAGAGAACTATGTTGTTCTCACGGGCTTTAACTTCATTCTGCAAACAGAGATGACCTCTTTACTAACTACGTCGAGGTCCTTTTTTACCACATCGGTAAATGAAGTACTGATTTCTCAAAGAAGCAGCCTCGTTATCGACAATTTTAGAATTACTCTTTACCACGTCTGACCAAGACTTGGTGATATCGTTTTTCAAGGAGTTAATAGACTGGTTAAGTTTCTCGTCTAGTTTTTCTAACTGTTTTAGGTTCTCACCGCTTGCCTCAAGGCCTCAACTGCAGATTTTTTTATCCCAATATCAATGGAATCAAACGTTTTAAGACGAGAATCAATGGATTCAAATTTTTCGTTAAGCATCTGCAAAAGACCTTTGAAACCATCAGCATGTTTCACGCAATTATCACAATAAAACTTCATGTTTTTACTTTTGCTAGCATATTTCACCAATTCATCATATAAGTCCGAAGACTCGATTTGAACCACCGCATCACATACACAACATAATATACATTATCATCCTTTACAGAAGCAGGTTCCGGAATTGACTGACTTCTCTGAGATCTTGTTTTAGACATGTCTTAATCGAGCACACAAACGAAGTCTATGAAGAAAATGCAGTGGTAGATACAGGTCTTTAGCACGATGCAGCAGCTGCACTGTCGAAGCCGTTTCTGCGACAGCCAAGGTAGTTTTATATTCTGCAACAACAATGACCAAAATTTTCTTTCAAATCACTGTTGATATTCCAGACAAAATAACAGAACAACCGAAACAATGCAATACGTCTAAAAAAACAAGGAGTGATAGCTTACAATTTAACAGAAACGTATTTACTTAAGATTTAAACTAAAAAATTAAATTAGTTACTTAAGTTCTAAATTATTCAAAAAAACAAAAATATATTAATAATTCTCTCTAATTAACCTATCAATTAAAACTAATTTAAACAATATGCACTCTGAAAAAACGCCGAAAATTAAGAAAAATTACGAAAAATCAATAATCAATTATGTACAATCTATATATATATATATATATTATATATATATATATATATATTTATATATATAATGTTTTTTTTTGGTATCAGACTGTTGTTAACGCAACATTTCAAAAATTCAACACTACTTTCAACTTTATATATAATGTTAGATGCTTTTCCGACTCATGTGCTTAAAAAACATATAGATATTTTTATTGTTTTTCTCGCAAGCCTCGTTAATTTATGTTTGCAAGAGGGAGTATTTCCGAATAAATGTAAGCACGCAGTTATTACACCTGTCTTGAAGAAAACGAAAGATGATAGGAATGGAATGAAAAGTTACAGACCCATATCAAACATTTGCTTTTGTTTCCAAAGTTAATGAACGAGTTGTTGCCAGTCAGCTACTGAGTCATCTACACAAAAATAGCTCAATACCAGTATTTCAATCTGGATATAAACGTTATCACTCAACTGAAACAGCACTGCTGTATGTTATGTCTGAGTTGTTTAATGCTTTTGATGAACAATATGTTTCGTTGCTTACATTCTTGGACATGAGTGCTGCCTCCGATTGCGTAGACCATCAAATCCTGATGAATCGTTTACAATGTGATTACCAAGTTACTGAAGTTGTAACTAATTGGTTCAATTCGTATTTGTTTGGCAGAACTTAGCAGGTTTTTTTCGGAAACAAATTATCTGGTATTGAAGCAATGTCATCTGGTGTACCACAAGGCTCAGTCCTGGGACCTATTCTGTTTGTACTGTACACTACTGAAGTATATGAAGTAATAGAATCATTTGGATTTTCATATCATGCGTGCGCTGATGACATCCAAATAATAGTTAGCAGTGAACCAGAACTGTTTAAAAGTAAAGTTGAAAATTTCATTGAATGCTTGACTAAAATAGGTACATGGATGTCAAGAAATTGTCTCAAATTGAATCAAGAGAAAATTCAATTTTTACCTGTCGTTACATGGCAACAGCTTTCTAAAATTAATATAATTTAGTCAAAATTGATAATAATGAAATACAATTCTGTGAAAATGCAACAAACCTAGGATGTATTTTTGACTCGAGATTATCTTTCAAGGATCATATAAAAACCATATCTAAATCATGTTCTTATCAGTTTTGCCAGTTATACCGCGTTCGAAAATCTTTGCATCAAACAACCATGCAGACACTAATTCATGCGTTTGTTCATTCACGGTTAGACTACTGTAATAGCTTGTTCAATGGATTACCAGAGAGATCTATTGCTTTTCTTCAATCGATACAGAATAGAGCTGCAAAAATAACTACTGGACGTAGAAAGTATGACCATGTGACACCCATTTTAAGAGACCTATATTGGCTAACAGTGAAAAAAAGAAACAACTATAAGATTTGTGTGACTGTGTATAAGGCTATGAACGGGTTGTTACCAGTATATCTAGTAAATAAAATTTAAAAAAACCAGCTTCTACAACGGGTGTAAAATTGAGATTAGATTATGCAAACTTACTGGCAGTGACAACTACTCAACTACAAACCACAACTAGAAATATTGCCGTGTCAGGACCAATTGCCTGGAACAGTCTTCCGCAATCGCTCAGAATGCCTGGACTAAAGCTTGATGATTTTAAGAAGAACTTAAAACATATTTATTTTTGACTTAAAGTATTTTATCGATTTGTACTTTAATGACCTTCACTGATTTCATTTATAATAGCGCTTTCCAGAAATTTTAATTTTATAATGCGCTTAATAAATTGTTGATAATTATATATATATTTTACAATATTCTATAAATTCTACCGAATGTTTGGCGTTAATATGTTTGTAGTTCGTTTTTTCGATTTTTCTCACTAAAGTTTTTTGGTAAACGTTTAGTTTATTAAAATTCAAAATAAACTTATTTTTCGAATTCATGCTGCAAATAAGGCCATATTTCGATTCTGTATATATGCTGTATATATAGCAAGGAGCACTGATGATGATTCATTTCAACCTCAGGTTGTCAGAAAAGCGCCAGCGTACAGGAAGTGAAATGAAGCGTTTGATCTAAACGTTAGCCTGAAAGCATTAACCTCTTTACACTTTTTTTTACGTATATTATATGATAAACCGTTAGAGTTTTTCTGCATCTATTATAATGGATGCGTGTCGTCATTGCTTCTCTTGCTTCTAGTAATGCGCATATGATGGAAAAGATTGGATAGGGAAATTCCAGTTTTTAAAAGTTCCATGGGTGTTAATGTTTCTTGTGCGGAAGCCTTTTTTAATAAACTATAGCCATGCATTTCAAAAAAAAATTGTTTCCTCCATACACAGAATGCGAACACTGCTGGAAAACTTTCAAATAATTTATATATCATTCAAATTAACTAGATAAATAAAAATCATTTCGGTTTGCAAGTGTACGTATTAAATATTAATTTACAATATATAAAAGCAAAACGTTTTCAAACTCTGGCTATCATGAGTGTAGTTAAATTAATAACTTATCTGTCATATCTTACAATATTTATTGACGGGGATGATTAATCACCCATTGTTCCTAGGTATCATAAATTTCTTTGTTTATATGTTGAGTACATTTCGCTTGTTTATTAAAGGTCCCCTCATTTTAAAAATCAAGGAATCCTTACTTTGCTTATAGATTTTTAGATTTGGTTTGTAAGATTTAATATTACAAGTAAAATTAATATTTTTATGTTTTGTTTATATAAATTTTCCCTTGCTATTGGTGTTTTTTTTATACCGATGAGATGATTTTTTTAAAAGCATCTTTCACATATGGACCGTTTTTTATTTAACCTATATGTATTCTTTATATGCATCGTTAGCCTCCTTGCCTAAGTGTTAGTGGTTTCTCCAATGTAATCTGAATTTCAGTAGCCCCACTTATCAACATGCGTCTGGGCCCGTAAGATAAAATAAACTATAGATAACACAAAGACTGCTCTAGGCAAGTTTTGCTGAGTGGGTGAAGGCAGGCTAACACGCATTGAGATAGGTAAACTAATTTTAACACATTTGATAACTCTGATAATAATGTAACATAAAGTATAACATAACAAAATTTAAAGCTGTTCCCTAGAATGGAGTCTTTGTGAGAATCACTGCCAATTAAGTGTCCTAGTATCCCAGCTCTCCGAATTTGATCTTGAAACTGTTAGTTGTTTCCACATAGACCGTCTCATTACAGACCGTCTAAAATATTTTTGCTTGATTGGATTTTCTGTCTTCCTGAAGAGCTTGTATCCGTGACCTCTAAAACTCTTTCTATTTCCCAGTTGAAAATATCTGGTTAATAGTGTTTTTTTTTCTCGGTAACTAATTTTTATGGCCACATTTCTTTCAATTTATCTTTACATTTAAGTTTTCCAAAACCTTTGATCATCTTTTTTGTACCCCACTGTACCTTCTCTAAATTGTTTTGTTCTTTTGCAAATGTGCACAGCACAGAATTCAAGATGGGATTGAACTAAGGTTTTATAGAAATTGATAATAATCGACTTCTTCTTGCTGACTACTGTGCTTCTAATAAATTTAAGTATAACAATATTTATAAAAACGTTAAGAAAAAAAAGATGATACCCGATACATATTTGTTAGATAAGCTCAATACATCTAAGCGGTACAGCGTTCGTTTGTTTGGATTTTATAGTTTTTATAGGCGCTCGATTCCATGTACGCTTTAAAATGCATTGCAAAATTCTGGAATATGTTTTTGATTCTATGCATTTTTATATTCCTTGCTTCAACCATAAACAGCGGTCGCGATGTTTGGCGGTGGACCAGTCATTGTTTTAAGTAATTTTTGAGTTTGATTTATTTGTTTATACTTTTTTCCGTACATTTTTTTATTTTTAGGCTCCGGCACCAAGAGAGAACAGGGTCGAAAAGTTCAGCTTGGGAACATATCCGCTGCGAAGGTGAGTGATAATGAAAGTCATCATGCTTAGCTTTGTCTAACTAAATAAAAATTAAAAATGCTTGAAAAAATAATTTAAATTTATAAAAGCGTAAAAAATGTCTTTTTTAATTTTTTAAAAACCTTGTAAAAGACTTTTAGAAGATGTCTCTTAAATTTTAAAACAACTTTAGACTATGAATTATTAATTAATCAGATTCATTATTGATCATTAATAAATGATTAATCATGATTATATTTTAAATTTTATATTTATAGTTATAATATACAAACAAATATATTTTTAATTTTAGGGGATTGCTGACATCATCAGAACATGTCTTGGGCCAAGAGCTATGTTGAAGGTAAAAATTAAGTGATATTTGTACTTTTTCATTGGCTATAAAATAAATTTTAGTTTTTATAATTTGTATTGTGTAGTTGTAGTAGTACCTGTCACGACATGATGGATCATCATTGGAGAAGACAGGAAATCTTTTTTAAATTTATATAAAAAAGATTTGAAAAGCCAGTTTTTTTTATTTTTTAGTAATTAAAAAAGGTGGACATTTACAGATTTGTGTTTTTTAGTTTGATAGTAGTAAAATTATGATAAAAGAAAAACCATCACTTAATGATTATTAAGGATTGCATAGTCATGGTGAACTCTAAACTTTTGTAGTTTTGGCAATAAATAAATGGAGGTTTTAAAGATCATGATCCTTAGTATTGACATGTATTGACATGATCCTTAGTATTGACAAGTTTATATTTAAAAATTTTTTTTTTCTTTTATTCCATCTCTCACTTGGAGTTCAGTATCAAATTCTTTTCTTTTTTATTTGCATTGTCCTTACATCTGATATTGTCAATCATTTATATTTGTTATTATCATTATTATTGATTTTCTCCTAATTAATTCTCATATGTATCAACAACTCAGCACATGTTAATCAGAAGGGATACTTTCATATTTTCATATAGTCATTGCAACAGCAGGACCAGGTTCTCGAACTATTTGACCATCCATTCTTTTGATTTACACCAGTATGCTTTCTCAAAATGATAGCCAGTGTTTTAAAGTTTCTGAGATCTATAAGATATGACTTCTGGTAAAAATAAGAATCAAAATTGGTCAGAGACTGCTTTATTTGATGATGATTTTCGAGTTAATTTGGTATCTAATCTATCTGATCTGGTTTTTTTTCTTTGTTCTTTAATTTTTGGGAAAACAAGGTTTATTGTTTTGGCAGTTCCATCACCAATTAATGGCTTTTCAACATCGTATACAGTGGAAGACTAAAATATTCTCAGGCATGGCACTATATAAATTCAAATGCAGATTCAGAAACTGTTGTTCATCTTATTTTATCTTTCAGCACAATGATCTCAGAACTTATGCTTACTTATTGACTTGTAGCTAAATTTTTTATCTAATCTCATAAATCTGGAACTTTATTTTTAATACTCCATGCCGACTTATAGAATGTTTTCATATGTCAAGTCTGATTGTCACTAAATCTCATCATCCTACATCAACACCCACTCTTGAACATTTTGCTATTAACATAGGATTTCTTCACCCTTCAAAACCTCACACCTCTGTTCTCTTTAAAACTTTTAGTTTCATGATTAGGTCTATCCACCACATTCAACAATTCTAATGTCTCATTTTAATCACTTCAGTTATTTGTAGTGCACCATCATTTTAATCACCTCCCTTCAACATGTTTTAAATAAATTTCACCAACTTGTTTGTTGATGGCCCACTTTTAGTTTGCCTTTCATGCTGGTCACTGATTTATCAGTGCTGCATTACCTTCAAACTTGACACCAGCTGTGGAAACCACATCTTCGTCCAGTTGTCATTACGGTGTTTTGTTGATATAGATGGGATGAATTATTATATCAGTTATTTGTTTATTTATTTATCCAAATGCATTTCTAAATTTTTCTTGGAGAATAAATTAGAAATTGAAATTTTAATTGCATCAGATGCTGATGGATCCAATGGGAGGAATTGTCATGACAAATGATGGGAATGCAATCCTAAGAGAGGTCGTTTATTTTCTCATTGAATCATTCACCAACGTTTTCATTTGTTTGTTTTTTTCAATTAATCAATTCTTCTATTGTTGAGCAGATCACAGTAGAGCACCCAGCAGCGAAGACTATGATTGAAATTGCACGAACACAGGATGAGGAAGTTGGTGATGGTACAACTTCTGTTGTCATTTTAGGTATGATATCTCATGTTCGACTGTTCAACAAAACATTCTTTTGCTGCACACAGAAAGTGACAAAAGTAAACTGCCTGCACACAAAATCTGCAGAAACACAAATTACATAAGTGTGGATATGAAAAGTATAAAGCTGGAGTTAGGGTTTAGAGAAGTTGAAGGAATAGAATAAGGAATGTGAAAAATTATTATGGACTTAGTTACAAACAAGGAGTAGTGTATCAATGATGGTTTTTGATAGTTTGATGGAACATACATAGCATGCTAATTACCCCTTAATAACAAGAAAATTATATACTATGCAGATTATCCTTAAAATTCACGGCGTTGTGTATCGATAGCCGTTTTTGTTCTTCATGATATATATGATATTTTTGCTATGCTTATGCATCATCTCAATTTTATTCTAGGGTTCTAGGATGTAGTGAGGAATCCACAATGAGTCGAATTGTTCTTAATGTAAGTAACTGTCTTCAATTCAACTATAAATATCAGGCTTTGAATGAGAAAGCAAAGTCCATAAATGGAGTGCAACAATGGCCATACTGTGCAGTTGAATTAAAATGTTTTTTTGTTTTCGTGCAAAGTGTTGCACTTGGCATGGCACTTACAAACTCACTCGTTATATGGCTAAATTACTGTCTACTTTAATAGTATATATATATGTGTGTGTGTGTGTGTATATATATATATATGAATGTATTACCAACATATGTGTATATATATATATTAGGGAACGTAGTGACCGGGAAGCGAAAGCGTTTTACACGCATTACAATCAGAGGCCTATTGTATATTTTGCTAGAAGCTTGATTATATATATCTGCACAGTTGCAGTACTTTTACCAACTGATACTCATAAACTCTTGGCTGCAAGAGCAGCGAATGTACAGGTTTATGTGAAAGAAGCAAACCCAAAAGCATCAACATATCCACTGTAAAGTTATTAATGATTGAAATACTAAAAGCAAATTATTCAAGATAGACCAAACTCTAAACTCGGTTTATTGTAAGACTTTTATTGCAAATCTAAATTCATGAAAAAAAACACATTCACATGCACACCATGACAAGTACATCCATTCATTCAAATAACTGTTCACTTTGAGCTTTCATTCTGAAGTTTTCTTATTTTTCGCAGAGTAGGTGACGATGGTGATGAACAATCAGCATTGTTAGCTATCTTAATCAGATTTTTACACATACAATTAACCCATTAAAGCCCAATTTATTTAAAATGTAAATTTTTTTGTAATACTCTTTTATGTGGCTCATAAGTCATTGAAATTTATAGAAATAAACTTAAAATACTTTTTTAAATTTTGGTTTAGCAAATAAAGCACGTCCTCGTTTGAGGACGCTGGTCAAATAAAGTTCATAAAAAAGATGAACAACAATTTTTATTTTATTTTCAAAAAACAACATTTTTTCTTAGATAGTTTATTTTAAAAATTTATTGTGGTATTTTGAAAAACAAGAAATACACAATGTTACATTGCACTTTTTACAAAATGTTCTTGGTTATCCACTGCAGCTGACAAATTGACATCTTCTTTGAGTTTGTCTTTTTACTAAAATGTGGCCTTTTTCATCAAATCTAATATCATCCATAACAATGGATTTTGATGTGGATGGGAAACAAACTGGCCTCCCTTTTAATATACGTTTTCCTATTCCTAATTTAAGATATGGTAACGCTATATTTCTCCTAAAGTTTTTTATAGATACTTTATCATTTGGATGTGTTTTTACATAAGCAACGTAGCTGTTAACAATAGACATGTCAACTATTCTTGTAAATAAACACCAGTACCACTTTTTTACCTCTTATACCAATACTGTGTCTTTCTAAAACCAATTATGATGATCAACTCCACCCATATATTTGTTATAATTTGCTATTACTGAAGGTTGTGGAATTTGAACCTTTTCTTTTTTTTCTTTACTCCATCGAAACACTGACAACAACGGTTCAATTGTATCAAAATTTGTTCCAATTGTAACAGCGCGGTTGTCATTCCACTTAACTATCAAAATTCCTTCTGAATTTTCAAACTGATAATCAAAAGTTCCTCTTGGACTTTTTTCCATTTCTTTAGACGGTTTTAGAGGGCACTTTTTAGTTCTATTATCTCGCATAGTGCCTGTTGCTCTATAGCCTTTTTCTCTTAGAGACACAAAAATATCATAGCTGGAAAGTTAAAATGTTATAAAAATAATAGCGGACACAAATGTTTATTCAATGCAAGAAAAAAAACAAAATACAATGAATCTGAAATATTGTTTGAAAGTGACTGTTTTGGTTTAATATTTAAATCCAAATATACGTATATTGTATGCAAGAAATAAAAGCTTCTCAACGTTTTCTCCAAGAAGATTGCTACGACGATCTGCGTAGATTTGTCCTGCAGAGCTGAATAGCTGTTCGCTTGCAACACTTGTTGGAGGTGCGGATAAGTACTTTCGAGCAGCAGGTTCAAGGCAAGGAAATTGGCTGCAATGCCAATAGGCAAAAATGTTAGCTGTTCTATTTATTCGAGGTTCTTTGAGATACGATTGCATTTGACGCTCATGATCAGGGATATCTGTATCAACATCAACGTCATTTTGTTTAGCTAGGCTCACTTTATCGTGGCTATCCCATAAAGATAATGAAGCTGAACTTTTAGAAACATTTTCATGAACCTTGATTATTTCTTTGGACTGGTTGCTACTTTCATTCAGTTCAACAAACTTTGGCTTTATAAATCTTAAAACTTCATTTTTGGCCTCTTCTTTTTCAAACTCGTCAAAATACATATCCTTAAAGCGTGGATCAAGCAAAGTTGCAGCAAGAATTTCAGGGGTTCTTTTAACAAATGCCAACCGTCTATCTATTGAATCTCGGAGAGCTGCCTTCATTTGAATTAATCCACGATCTTCCGAAGTTGTCTCCAATTTTGTTTTCAACATGAAAATAATTGGGATGACTATTGAAATGCAAGCATTATCGTGACATATTTCAATTGTTGCATCATAAAATGGTTTCAAAACAATACCCAAACGTTCTATAAGTTTCCATTCTTCTTTTGACAAAGATTCAATGTTTCCATATTCAACTGAATATAAGTTTATTGCTTTTTGTTGCTCATTCAACCTAGATAACATTAAATATGAGCTGTTCCATCGCGTTTCGACATCTTGAATCAGTGAATGTTGTGGAACATCAGTTGATTTTTGAATTTGAGAAAGATGTCGACAGGCTTGTTCGCTGTGCTTAAAATGGCAAACAATTTTTCTAGATTTTTTTAAAACAGTTTCAACGGAAGATTGGATAAAAATGGCATCTTTCACAACAAGTTGCCAATTATGAGAAAAGCATGCAAAATCTTTTATTCCGGCAATACACATTGATCTGACCATGTTGGATGCATTATCACGAACACCTAGATGTATCTTATCTTTAATATCCCAATTAGTGATTGCTTCATTTAATTTTGACGCCAGATAAGCTCCGGTATGATTTTCTTCTAAAACCATAGCATTTAATACAATTTTTTCTCGAGAACATTCACGTATCAAATGAGCAGTGAAACTAAGCAGTGAGCAAGTTTTTGTTGGATTTGTCCATCCATCTGTTGTAAAACTGATCCATTCTGCTTTTTTTAAAAGTTGTTTAACATGATCGTAAACTTTGTTGTATGTTGCAGGCATCAATGTGGTCCGAAAATATTTTTCAGTTTTTAAATGGTACCGGTGAAAGTCAGTTGGATCAGCAAAATTCAATCGTTTAAATGCCTCACCTTCTACAGTTGAATATGGTAGCATATCAACAATAATCAAATCCATAATACATTTATCGATTCTTTGAGTAGATTGATGATTGTCTGGCCAGATTCTGCGATTTTCTTGAAAATCCGAAATTGTTGGTTGAATTGAAACATCTGAATGTTTTGAATGAGATTCATCTAATTTCGGTTTTTTGGCTTCCCTCAAAAAACTATTTTTTTCTTCAATATTTAAAAGAAACTTTGAAAACAGACCTTTGTGATACTTTTCAAGATGATTTTTCAAACCACAAACAGTCTGGTTCTTCGGCAGTGTACTTCCTAAAGAGTATAACTTGTCACATTCATTGCAACGTGCTTTGCTTTTGTCAGACTGTATCTTTGTAAAATACTTCCATATTGGATTTAACGACATTTCAACGACTTTTGTTTAATTATTCAAATTATTGTTTACTCGATTCAGAATAATTAACAAAGAAGT